AAATGCTGTTCTCTGCTTTCAGCTTCCCTGGCTGCACAGCATTTGCATCGTGACATTTTGTTGCAACATTAGCAAGAAGGTTGGTGTTTGGGAATCGATCTCTCTTTCCGGCTAGGAGAYGCTGCAACGTAGTGGGGTCTGGCAGACTGTTAATGGCTTTTCTTCGAAATATAAATTTGTGTTTTTGACTAAGTACATTTCACAACTACTTAGCAGTTAAGCACTAAGTAATACCATATTAGCAGCGTGTATAAGGCCACCACATATGGTTATCATTCTAATGTTACCTAAAAAAGACAAAAGAAAACAATGTGAGCAATATGAGAACAATATTTCTGGGGGATATTCAAGAGCCATCTTGATAGGGTCATCAGCAAAACACTGTAGGTGACCCTGCCAAGGCAGGGAGGCTGGACCAGATGGTTTCAAAGCTCCCTTCCAGCTTCAACCACAACTGTGAATCTGCAGTTAGTTACCTGGAAGACTTCAGACAGGTGGAAAAATCACATGTACTACAAGGARAAGGCTCTCTAGAACGTCATAGACTGAAAATTTTTGACAACAGTGTTATTTAGAATTCATTTGCTTTCATTTGGAGATTTAAGGTGCTGTTAGAAGTGTGCAGCTACAACTTATGCACTCTCAAGGCTTTATAGCCTGTTGAACTTAAATCTAGTAACAGAAATTGGTTGGTCTTAACTACAAATTTGTTTCCATGACTTCTCTTGCACTTTGGTCACTCTTCCACTTCTTCTTTTCCTATGAGTTTTGCTTTTGGAGTGTTCTGTTCTCTTGCAGTTAGACTATAATGCAATAACATTCCTTCTACTTCAGGTTTTTCTGTGCATGGAGAATAGATCTTAAGCCTTTGATTGYTTTCTTAGCAAGACTTAAAAGCTGTTATGCTAATGAAATAAAACACTTGGGAATAATATCAAAGACCTCCTATTTTCTTGTACCTAGCAGCATTTAAAAAAGTTATGTTCTTTTGGTACTGCTTTGTTTAATTAGAGCTATTAAAAATAAACTGGAAAATGAATTAACCTCGATGTGATCTCTTCAAAATAAAAATTGAAACCCAGTAATGGAGTAGTGGAATGAAGAATAGCTGCATAAAAAGAAAATCTACAAAAAATGCAGTTTTAGGGAAATTAACTGAGGTATAATAGCATATATTGTAGTATAAAGTATTCTTGCATTTCATTTTGACACTTCGGGGCTGGAACCTAAGATGTGCTCTGGACTAGTGTTTTAAATCTAATAACTAAGATTGTAAAATTCATTAATAGCGTTTCAAATAGAGGTGGTTGTTATTCGTGCTGCTTTTGGAGGCAGCATCTTGTCTGCATTACTGGAGGGTCTTCAGGCCAAACATAATTCTGTCTAGGTGGGATTAAGCTGCTGTTTTAAAAAGATATTTAAAAGTCTTCACTTTACAGTAATTTTTGACCCTCTATATGTCTTAGCTTCTTGTCAAACACATGTAGTTTGTTTTCTTTTATTATTTTTTCCCCTTGGATTATAGTTTTGTCATTTTTTTTAAGCTTGGCTCTGCTGATAGTGAAGACTCTCAGCTGTCTGTGAGAGGAGGTGCCAGAATRTGGGACGAAGCCAGCAACTTTTATGGATTTTATACAGTCCAGGAGCAGCTGTTTTTAGTTTCCCGTAAGATAAGAATGAGTTAACATAGATAGAAAAATACTACGAAATCTGTGCATAAGTTGAAATTTTATGAATATCTTTCTGGTGTGAAATGAGTTTAGACATGTACTTAGTAGGGAAGTGAGAAACTCTTAAATTGAAACACACAGGAGAGCTGGTTTTATATCAAGCATTTTTGATGCACTCTGAATGCTTAAGCAATTGGTACAATTTCTTTTTTCCTTCTAGTTAAACTTTTTGTCCTGTTTGTTCCTATCACCCTTCAGGATCGCCCACCTACCATATGCAGCTGACACAGAGCATATATGTGGCTTGAGTGGCATGATGAAATGATCAAACTGAAATATGTGTTCAGGAAAAAAAAATATGTATGGCTGCTTTTTTTTCCCCCCCAAATCCCCTTAAATTTCTATCTGTTTGAGGAAGATAGCACATAACTACACTTGTCAATCCACAGATGCTTACATCTAAATTGCGTTTTGAGCCAGAATATCTTTGTACAAAAAAAGAGGCCAGGAATGTGTGAGTTTGTTGTCATGTCGGGAAGAACTAGTTGAGATTATGAAGAAATGGAGTGGTGAATCTTCTAACTCATTTTCAAAGGAAATCTAAAGCTTCCTGGAAAATGCAAGGCCCTGAAATTCGTGATTATGAAATAAAAATTGACTGTGTAATAAGGTGGCTTTACATTAATAATCTCCGAGATAAGCATGGATTTATAGAGACTAAGTTCCTAACATAATCATTTCCTGATGCTTATTAAAACACGTGAGGATTAACCAACAGTGGTAACTGCAGCAGAATTTATATTCCTATTTAGATACCTTTATAAAGACTTCCCTGCAACAGAGTTTTGCTTATAGTTTGGGCTGTTTGWAGCTTTAAAAAAAGGCAGTAAAAATATATCAGTTGACTTTGAAAATATTCAACTGTGGATGGTTAGGTTGGGACAGAATTTATACTTTAAAACAGTGAGAATAATGATGGGGGGGAAATTGTTTTGATGAATATGAGAACAAATTCATCGTCTAGCAGTAGCTCGGAGCAGTCTGTTAACCATTGTATAGGCCCAGTGCACAGAAATATTTTCTGACAGGCCTTCTCAAACTGACCTTTGTGAAAGCCTTTCTTTCTGTGCCTTTGTAAGCTTGGCATGGTGCTTTTGCTAAATATCGTTCAACGTGAAATATTAACACAAAATCTCACGTGGTTTGAGGGCGTATTAAAATCTTGCATAACACGACTAATTAGGACATCTCATCTAGAAAGTAAGYTCTTTGTAAGAATAAAATTTGCTTTATTTCCCCCCTGGAAAAACACTGGGAGGAAAAAATAGCTCTTCTACCGTAACCTGAAAATCAAGAAATTTACACACTCATAAAGAACTAAGACAAGTTAATTGAGCCACAATAATCTTCTTCATAATTGCTGTATATGAAAATGTCATTCCTTTCACGATAACATGTGGAGCTGCTGCTTAACATCAGGCTTGGTGGCAGGATTGCTCTTTTCTTTTTAGACTYGTAGTGAATCTTCAATAATGGGCTCTTGCAAGAGCTGGCCTCACTTCTGAATTCATAGAATCACAGAATGGCTGAYGTTGGAAGGGACCTCTAGAGATCATCTAGTCCAACCCCCTGCTCCAGCGGGGACACCCAGGGCACAGGGCGGCATCCAGGCGGGTTGGGAAGATCTCCAGAGAAGGAGACTCCACAGCCTCCCCGGGCAGCCTGTTCCAGGGCTCTGTCACCCTCGTGGTCAAGGAGTTTTTCCTTAAGTTCCTGTGGAACTTTTGGTGCCTCAGTTTGTGGCCGTTTCCTCTAGTCCTGTCGCTGGCCACCACTGAAAAGAGGCCGCCCCCCTCCTCCTCACTGCCTCCCTTGAGGTATTTATACACGCTGATCAGGTCCCCCCTCAGCCTCCTCTTCTCCAGGCTGARCAGGCCCAGCTCTCTCAGCCTTTGCTCACAGGGCAGATGTTCCAGGCCCCTGATCATCCTGGTAGCCCTGCGCTGGACTCTCTCCAGCWGCTCCACATCCCTCTTGTACTGGGGAGCCCAGCACTGCACACAGTGCTCCAGATTATTCCAGTACTGGGGAGGWGCAGAACAAATCTGGTGCCTTCTCCCCACTTCACCCTGCTTACTCTTTGAAATTCCTGTGCTAAATGTTAGATTATTTTGATATTAATATGATTGCCCAGTCTCTGCTGCCTTCATACATTATCAGGTTGCTGCCATCCCAGTGCCCTATGACCAAGTTGTTCTGTTGKTTTCCTAAGAGCCTGTAATGCAGCGCAGTGCTCGCTAGAAACACGAGTGTCACGTATGGCACAGGAGAAGAAAAACTTGTCATCTACGTGACTGCAGAGAGATGATTTCCCTGGGCCAAAATTACCAGGAGGTACCCGTGGCCCTGGGCCTCGTTCTAGCACGAAGTCAAGCACTTAAAACTGCTGTAGTTTCTGCTTTTACACAAAACAGTTTTTACAAAACCCTGTCTCAGCCTAGAGTTTTTTCATTGCTTTTCTTGCTGCTCTTGTTCAATATTCTCCCTGCTTTCCCATCTGAAATGCTGTGTGATGCTGATACACGGTGCCTGGTTTTGCTTAGCCAGCTACTTCACACCTCACAGCGTTTATTGCCTGGGCTGCAGGGCCTTGTTTGGTGCTCGCTGTGCCCGGCCTTGGCCTCCTCTAGGCCTCTGAACTGGAAATGTCTCAGCTCTGCAATGCTTAATATTCCCTGCAACTTCTGTTTCTTCTGTTCTGTACCTTGTATAGATGAAACAAAGGCCTCATCTACGCAATGGATCTTTTTCTTCTAGTACATAATTCTTTGTGCAAGACTTGCTTGCAACCATATAGCTACTATTCCAAGTGTCACACTTGGTGCTTTAAAGAATGGTAAAGAATTCTTTTCAAAACAGTAATATTTTAAATAGACATATGACACAGCTATAAAAAAAGGGCAGCACTTTGCTACAAGGAGGCTTGTCAATATCAAGAGTCAGATAGTGCCAAATATTATATAAATTTATCATATGCAAATATTATAAGGCTCAATGGAATACATTTTTATTATGCCATTGCTTTGAATATGCTTTGAATAAAGTAAACAAACAGCTTTCTAAGATGCTTTGCTCTTTAATTAATATACATTATTTAATAAATTCTTTTTTACTGTTAACATTTTAAATTTATATATATAGAAGGAAAATCTTACCMAATGCTGCATAAAGTAATAACAATATTGATTCATTTCTTATATCATTCCTGCTGTATGCTTGTAATTTTTTTGAAGAGAATATTTTATTAATTGAATTTGTGTTTTCTTCTAGCTAACAGCACGCGCACTGCCTTCCATTCAGTCTGACGAGAGACTGCAACCTCTGCTCARTCACCTCAGGTAGCATAAACAGAAAGCATAAATGTGTTCTTTCATACAGATAAAACAATTATCAGTTAAATATTTTAGGAACATTTTTTGAGATGCTTTATCTGTGGGATTGGCTTTGAGTAAAAAGTATTTTCTTTTTAAGCTTTCAGTTTAATAAAAATTTTAACTTAAATTACATGAAAAAAATAATATGGCTGCCATTGCTGCTTCTGAGAGATAATAGAAACATATTTGTAGCTTTGTAAAATACCTTTTTCATGTTAAGTACAAAGTTGGTAAGTTGCTTTATGAATGAAACTCATCATATTCCAAATTATAGCACTATGAGTACATACTGATCTCATTTCATATTTTTACCTGTTAATTTCTTTCTAGAAAACTGTCACTCCATCCCTGCTGAATGGAGCCCATTTACTTTTTAAATGGGGTATGGAGAGAGCTGAAAATACGAGCCAATAGAGTGCTTGATAACATGGTGAAAATGCCTGCCCCTTCTTAGGAGCAGAATAGAATATCTTTCAAGCTTTTTTTTTGGAATGAGTTTGGGAATGAAGAGTAAGAAAAAACTCTTTTCTAGTATCTTTTAGTTTAGACATAGATTTGATCTTGCTAATATAGGTGATTATGTTCTACTGTTTTACATAGTGATTGAGAGAGTTTGCCTCGTAAGGTAGGAAGGAAGAAGACCAAACAGCTAAAGAGAGGGACCCTGGTTGAGAACCACAGAATATTGTAGCTTGGAAGACTCCTCTGGAAGAGACTGTGTCTAACCCTGGCTCAGAGCAGGTCTGGGTAGATAGTGTTGAATCCAGGAGAATTTTTAATATCTTGCAGGTTAGAAATTTACTTAAACATTGACACTCAGTAAGGAAAGTACTTATTTACGCAACRTACACCTATATCCAGAAATGACTGAAATGAATGAGTGAGTTGGGAATGGAAGCAGCGAAGCTCTGTCAGGGCAGCAGGGCAGATGAATCCRGAGCTAGTTGGTGTGTTTGTCTCCTGTGGGGCTCTGCTGCGTGATGCAGCCCTGCCTCCAGTGCACTGTTCTTGTTCTGTTTCAAAAAAACCCAAATAATTACTTTGTCAGTAATTTTTTTTAATGCATAACAACAGTTTCAAGTCTTACTGCTTGTAATGTAAATCAAAATATGAAATAGTGTATCTGTTGGTCTGTTTATTGTTAAAAATAAGGATAGTGAATGAAAAATCATCTAAGGTAACTCTTAGGTAACTAGTTAGCGAATGCTTCTGCATGCAAATTGCCTTCCWTATTTTTACTACCATTCATCATATTGGCATTTTCAGAAATGCTCTTCAGTAGCATTCCTTTCACCGTATGAAGTAAGAGCAATTAGGTTAGTATTTTATAAATGATAAATGCTCTCTGTGAATAATTACTGAGAAATTTGAATTTTCTTCTGATAGATGCTATGCATCTGTATAAGCAGAACAGCCTCCAGGATCAGAGCAAACAGCCTTTTGTGTCTCATTTATTGTATGAGGACTGGAAAAGTTTCAAAAAAGCTATTTTTTTTTTTTTAACACAAGCTACTAAAGCTAACAGAGATGCTTTATCCTGAATTTATTATATCCTACTATTTTTGGCATTTTCTGATATTAAAGTGCATTCCTATGTTAATCATCCAGTGACTTGCATGCATTTTGCTTTTATCAATATGGAGGGGCTATTACAAGTGCATTGTAAGTAACTGGAAAMGAAAATATGTCAACAATTACATGTTGCTTTTTTTAAAGGAACTTGCAAAAAAGCAAAATACATTTGACCTTTTAGCTTTCAAAATGTCAAGGGACAGACAGATGACCAAATAGATATTTTCTGTTATTTCYGTACTTCGTCCTGCTCTTAAAGAAAAGTGGTTTTAGGCTTTCCTCTTTTTTGTGTGTGCTGTTTCTTTCAGCAGTATTTTATTTTTGGCATATGTCAACAGAGCACTGTGGGSGGAGTGGAAGCTTTGATAGCAAAGTGTGCAAAGAGCAGACGATGGAAGGTTGTGGGGCCTTGGTGGCTGTTAATGCACTGCGCCCTCGCTGGCAGCGGCGCGTGTCTGCCCGTGACTCTAAAATCAGCAAATCCTCAAGAAAGGTCATTTTGCCAAGAATTATGTCTGCACAGATATTTTAATCCCTGCCTGTTTCCTAAGGAGCATAGCGTGTATTTTATAATTGGGCTTTTCTAGGCCAAACAGTTATTTTGTCAGTGGCTTGGATGCTCTTTTGGTCCTGTTTTGTTTCATTGATGATTTTTAATACTAATTGTAATAGACTGAATGAAATAAATAACTCTTGGGTTAAAATTTATTTTATTCAATACGGAATTGTACCAACGGATTTCACTTGTTCCCAGTAGACTACAATAAGACTTAAAATGCTAAATCTTTTGTAATTATTATTTTAGCAACCAGTTATAGCTCATCAAGGAAGATGAGGATGCATCTGTAGAGTGTTAATATTCTAACATAACTTTATAGAAAAGGAAAATATGTCCAAACGAGAAGTACTCTTGCTTCAATATTCAAAGGTTTTATATTCCTGGTTTTATAGTGAAATTAGAATATCACAACACTCTATTTCAAGTCTTAAGCAGGAATTACTTCAAAGATGGATGCAAGTTGTCATATGTATTCCTATCAAAGTACTAGAAAGCTGTGCCTGTGCACTGAGCTTTTCTTATCTTGCAGCACGTTTTTACTCTGTTTCTGTTTTTTAATTTCCTTTTTTTAGGATGCCTGCTTATGCCTTGGTGTTTTGAATACATCGAGTTTTTAAAATTACATCTCAGCTCAACTTGTGCTCAAAAAAAACATGTGTGAGAGGGGGAAGCAAGGACAGACAGCAAAAAAAACGTGTAAGAATTGCTGGGATAGAGAAGCATATGGGGCTAAGACAAGCAAGAAAGATTAAGGATAACAAGAAGGGATTTTACAAGTAGAATGGTTGTATAAGGAACTTGTGGGATAGAATTCCCACTGATGGAAGCAGGAGTTAGGTCTTCTCCACATTATCCATCAAGAGGATTGTGGAGAGAATGGCAGAGCACCAGCACAAGGCTGCTAGAGAGAGGTGTTTTCAGCACCAGGTTTATGGGGAAAGGCTGAGGGAATTGGCTTTGTACCATCTGGTGAAGAGGAGGCTTAGGCTGATCAAGAAGCTGCCTACAACTGTTTGAAAGGCAGGCATCACAGCACGGGGCTTTCTGGTGTTGCCAGAAGATAGAGCAAGTGGCCGTGGTCCCATGTRGGTTCAGGTCAGACATGAGGAAAAACTTCTCTGCTAGGGAGCAGTGCAGCAGGCTGCCAAAACATGGAGTCCTTGGTCTTGGCAGCTTGAGGCCTCGACTAGAAATAGCCCTGACCAGTGTCCTTCCCGAGAGGGAACAGGACCAAATTGTCTGCTGGTGTCCTTTGCAGCCAGTGTTTGTATGGTTACATTAAGAGTGTCTTCGAATGTTAGTTAATGAAACTGATTAAGAAAAAAACCTATTTTGTAAGGTTTTTTTTTGTGTGTGCAGACTTGTTCATCCTTATTAATGCTCAGAAATATGAAAAGAAGGATGCACACCTTAATATCCTACTGTGTTACTCCCATTTTCAACATCTTCAAAGATCTAACTCTAGTAGATGTAATGCTGTAGTAAATRCATCCATGATGGTGCACTGTTTGTCAGAATGATCCAGTAGCTGTTTATTTGAAAGACTGAGATTCTGTTATTGGAAATGTGGATATGATAATTTGTTCATTGTACTRACACTGTGAGTGTATGTATGAACAATCCCTAGGGAAGTTCATACATCCAGCAACTGGAGCACTTTTGATAAAGAGCCCTTGTGCATCTAGGTGAGTAAGAACCTTAATCAGGAAGTAACCACAGAAACTCTGTGGAATAGAAGAAAGGGATGAATCAAAAACAAAAGCTAAATATTGGAAGGCAAAAAGAAGAGGGGGAAGAGGACAGCCACAAGCTCGTCTGAACTGTGTTGTGCTAGTGTGTTTTCAAACAGTAGCAGGCTGTTTGGTAACATTCACTGACATGAAAAGAGAGGGAGATTGCCTGTAGAATAAAGGGTATTCTTCTTACTCTTTGGCAGGATTCTCAAGATTGCTGTTATTTTCCTTTTTATTCCTACTAAAAATCTGTGGAGAGAGCAAACTGTGAGGTAATCGATGGACCTGGMAAATTTGTGCTGTAGAAGATCAAAGGACCTGACATGTATCACTGAATCCCAGGACTCCAGGCTGTTGTTCTCTTGGAAAAGGAGTTTATTTAGCTAGCAAAGGCCACCTGAGCAGTCCGCTTTATGCCCAGCTCCAATATTTGCCACGTATGCTGGATGGAGAGGCGCACTGAGTGCTGCCTTTGAACGCAGGTTGTGGAGTTGAGTGCCTTGGTGAAAAGTGTCAGGTATCACGCAGCTTTCACCTTGTGAAGGTCATGTGCTGCTTTTTAATGTAACAGGAAGGAAGCATGCATGAGGAATTCCCATTTGCTCATCATGCTGTGAGCATCTGAGTTGTTCAGAATCTAAAAACTTCTTCCTCCCTTTCTTTCGCTTTGCTTTGTTTTCTGTCCTTGCAGTAGGTGGTTTTACCAAGGCCGGGCCTGTGGGCAGGATTTGGAGAGCATGCCCTCTGTTCAGCACCGATGCCTGAAGTTGTATTTTGTTCCCCTATAGTATGGGCCACCTCTGTGTGTGCCCCCTTGCCTGGCCAATCCTTTCCACAGGTGCTAGGGAGAGACTGGTTGCTTTATTGCAGTCACACCAGTGCTGAAAAAGGCTAAGCCAAATAGCAAAGGCCAGGAAGCAAATGACCTGAGGGAACTCTGTTTGCTACCTGGGCTCATCTTGAGGTGTGATGATTGTCTTGAATGGTCAAGACTTGGGCAGCTTTCTGTGCTGTTGTGTTTAGTCTTTGGTACTGTGATTTCTATTTTTTTGTTCGTAGTGTGAGTGTGAAAAGTGATGCTGATCCATTTTGCATTTGAGTGCTGATTTAGTAGAATCGGTAGCAATAGAAATGTTCAACTTGTACTTTTATTCATTCTAACCATGTTTTCATCTATTCAGAGAGGCAGGCTTTCCAAAGSCCTCACAGCTTTTAGTGAGTTTACTGCTGTTTCAGTTTTAGGGAAGCGGCCCTCCCTGTCTCCATAAGATTTCCCGCTTCCCTGTCTTGCTGCCAGGAGGACACCCAACCTTTCTGCCCTGTGGGCAGAGTTCCTGCAAATTGGCACTTTTACTGTTAACTCTTTACTCACCCATCAGAGTTCGTTGGTTGTGGCTGCTGTTGGTTTCAGCAGGGCTTTTGGTGCTGTCCCCTACAGTGCCCTCAGTGTCCAAGCGATGGAGCAGGGGCTAGAAATGCAGCTGAACTGCTGGGCTCAAAGGGCTGTGCCGAGTGGCAGTCACTCCACCCAGAGGCCGCTCCATAGTGGAGTACCCCAGGCCTTGGTACTGTGACAGTCCTGGTAATGGAGATCCAGCCAGGAAGTTTGCAGCCCACATGGATTGTGGGAACAGGTTGGCTGTGCTGCCATCCTGAGGGACATTGAGAAGCTGCAGAAACGGGCAGAGGAACCTGCTGACCTTGGGCAAAGGGAAGCCCTGCCCYCAGGGAGTAACTGTGCACCTGGACAGGCTGGGAAACGGCTTGCTAGGGAGCAGATTTTTGGAGAAGAGTGTGGAGGACCTAGGTGGACACCCAGCTGGTCAAGAAGCAGGAATATTCCAAGGTGGGAGAAGGAGGCCAAGAGCCTCCTTGATGGTCTTAGAGTGCTGTGAGCAAGTTATAGGAGGTGCAAACATTCCATGGGAAGTGATTGAGGAGACTGAGCCAGGCTCTTCTTGGCAGAGCCCAGGAAAGGACTAGAGGGGCAACAGGCRCAAACTGAAGCGCAGCAATTTCCACCTAACTCTAAGATGAAAACTCTTCCTCTGAGGGTGGTTGAACACTGGGGCATGTTGTCCAAAGAGGAGGCAGAGTGACCCTGCTCTTGTTCAAATCCTGACTGATCTCAGSAGGCCTGAGCAGCCTGCTGCAGAASAGCCAGCTCTGGGCAGGAGCTTTGGACTAGCTGAGGAGCAGAGGTCCCCTCCAGCCCCAGCTGTTCTGCTCTCTTCTGTGATCCTAGTTGAGAATGACTCCTTATCTCTCACTTGGAAGTAAAGGAAGGAAGGGATCCATTATCCTCTTGTCTCTAATGCTGGTTTTATAGATCTGAATTATTTACATACCTGTCAAATACTGTTTTTTCATTTTGTTTTTGTTTTTTACCATCATGGAAAACATGTAACCCTTAAAATGGGTAAAAAATAATTTCTTCCTACATTTTTGAACTGTTGTAATTATTTTGGATGAAGTTATATGTTTTATGTTGTACTTTTTGCTTTGTTTTTCAGCCATTCTTACATTGGTCCAGATTACAGTGTGCAAAAAAATGCTGGAAAAATTTCTCTGGAACAAATTGATGCTGTAAGTTCTCTATTTGTATGATATTATATGGTGTGGTCTACCTCTTTAAAGTTAAATGCATAGATAAAGTTAATATCTCTATGCACAGATATCATAAAGCCTTGATTTCATTTTTTAAGATGAAATATTTTTGACTGTTAAGAATCAATTTTATATGTTTTCACAAATACCTAACATTATATAAAAACTAATGATTTTTTATTTAATTTTGTGATTTTTAGTGTTTAATTTCTGACAAATTAATAATTTTGATTTGTAATTTTTATTTGGGAGATTTTCTGGACTTTCTAGTTAATGGCTTTTTTTTGAGCAGGAAAGGAATAAAATTGATTGTAAATGTGCATCACCTATGTAGAGACAAAAAAAAATTGTGTTTTATCTGAAGCTTAGAAATGGTGTGTTTTGTTAGTGTGTCTTAACTCTGGCGATGTTCCTTTTGAACTCAGCTGTCAAGAAATAAAACCCACATACAAGTAGGTTTGAATGATGCTTTCTTCCTGAGATTTTATATTATGGCAAAAAAAGAAATATACAAAGCAATTGCAATGRGCTTTACTGATAGTTTCTCAGAGGTGTTAAATACCAGTTCCAATCCACCTGGCTGTTTCAGAAGCTAAAATAAAGAAGTAGCAGCTTTGTAATGGAACCGGGGCTAGATTTTATTTCTGACGGCAGTTAAAACTTTGGTACTTAGTAGCTGAAGACTAACATCTGCCAGTCGCTCACATGATTATTGGATGGTTATTGAATTTGAAGGCTTAAGAACACACTTGTTCACTTCAGCCCAGATGATCTCCCTGTGCATTTCTTTCTTTCCAGCTGTTAGTATTTTCAGACGGAGATAATCGCTAAGTCTACGTCCTACAAGCCCAATGGACAGGGTGTCTTAAATGCCTGTTTTTCCTCCTGGCAGCTGGCTGTGAAATCGTTCCCGCTTTGCATGCGCCAGCTGCACAAGGCGCTGCGGGAGAGCCACCACCTCCGCCACGGAGGCCGCATGCAGTACGGGCTCTTCCTAAAAGGCATYGGCTTGACTCTGGAGCAGGCCCTGGAATTTTGGAAGAAAGAGTTTATCCAAGGAAAAGTAGATGCAGACAAGGTAATTCGAGACATCAACATATACGAATACGAGGATGTATTTATGTGTATTTTATGCTGCCTCTGTGAAGAGATGCTTGTTAATCTTGTGCAAAAGGTGCTAGTGTTGTCTTCATAACCAAGTGAGAAAAAAAAATATTTTATTCATTTTCGCATTCTTCTGAAGTATCAAACTCAAGGCATAAAGCCAGAGGCTTTTTAGAGATGAGAACTAGAAAAATGCAATCCTTTAAGTCCTTTCTTAAAGCCTTTGTAAAGGCAGTAAMTGTAATTCTGCTGTTGGATACTAGTTAGTTAATACCTGAATTCAGGAAAATGTAATTTTTTTTTCAGTTGCAATTTCCTATATTTAAAGGATATTAGAAGAACCAGCCATCAGAAGCTAACAAAAAAGGTTAATGTGTGTGTGTGTGTGTGTGTATACATGTATTTTTTTTTTTTTTCACTATTTAGGTTTAAAAGGCTGAACAGGCCCAACTTGGTCTCCTTGTACCTTGATACAAGGACCTAGGTGTATGCAAGTGGATCAAGACACTTCCTGTAGCATTCCCGTTTCATGCACTGCATAGACATAAACAGACCTCTAAGAATACATTAGAGCTTTATAGTTGATGAAGTTGTATGACCAAGTCTTGATTAGCATTTTGAGAATGATGCAGAAGATGATGGTTATGATATTTTTCATGCAGAGGTCTCTATTTCTATAGAATCTTCATATTTCTTTTGAATTTCTAGATAGCTTTAGTCTCTTGAGGGGAGCGTAGAAAATTGTCTCGTAACACGTGGTAGTGAAGTCAGTGGTCTGTTTTTTACAGCAGAAAGTTATATACTGTTTTGATAAGTTAAGAAGAACACAATTCTTACTCTGTTCTTATTTTCTTTTTTTGACAATTTTATTTTCTGAATCTCATGCCATAGTTCCTTTTCCAGGAGGATACTTATACTATCCCCATAGTATAAAAATGGGGATAATTATACCATCTTGTTTTATTGGAGCATTGTGAAGGTATGTGCATGATACTTGGTGCAGACTAAGGTTAACTGTCTGGTGTGTCTAGAGAGGAAGGATTTGATTTGCTACAAATGGTTATGGTTTCAACATTCATATTCTGAAGTTAGTACTGTAGTAATATTTGTATTGGTTGTCAGTCTTAAGACTTCTTGACACACAGCTTCAACCTCACATCCATCAGTAGCAGTGTGCTGCAGTGCCTCTCACAAGGCTCAGCATGAACACAAGGAAAACTTACCCCTACGTGAGTACCCTCTGCTCTGAACCCCTAAATCCAGGCCTTCCCTGTGATTCCATGATAAAAACACTGTAGACAAGATTGCCAAAAGGGTTTTGCCCTCAGAGAGGAATTTGCAAGTATATTGCACATAAAGTGTGAAATATATTCAGTGATTAAAAACATGCAGGGCTTGCAAAATGCACTGCAATTGGTGATGATCTTTGTGGAGTAAGTGGTCGTGGAGGATGTGCTCACAACAGGCATATGCAGAGTGGAAAGTGGTTTTGCTTGAAGCATCATAATTAAAATTACTCTGCAAATTACTAGGCTAGAAATGTGTAAATGATAAGTTGTTGTTGTTACGATGATAGGATCAACTGTCAAGTGGTGGTAAACGTATTCTGAATGTTTATGCCAACTCGCTTCATAACCTCAGTGTAATTCTAAGGTATTGTTTGGTTTTGTTCTTGTAAAATGTAATCCTACTCCGAAGCAAAAATATTAATTACTTTACACTTTGATCTCCTGTTTCTTCATATTTTTAAAAATCTTTAAAAAAAGCAGGGAAAAGCCTGCCGTGGCTTTTAATATTTAAAACATTTGAAACAAACAAAATATTGAAGGAATAAGGTGAATCAGTAGCAAGATGAAAATTAATTAAAACATACTTCTAAAATGCTCTGAGAATTAAAAATGAAATCCACTTTTACTGTAGAATTTGTTGTTACTTTTCTGTCTGTAACTTTTTTCAGATCTATTTATAGGATTAATTTGTGCATATGAAATGAGACTTGAAGACAAGGTATTCAGACAAAGGAAAATGAAATCACTTTCTTTGGCTAATAGTGTGGAATGCAGGTTTTTATAAGGAGGGCAGCTCATTGCTTTCTACTTTGCTGGATATATCCTTGTGAAATATATTCTTGTTTTCAGAGATATTTGCCCTGTTGTGTGGAAGTATTCTCTTCCAGTTCTTTAATTATTTTCTATAAGAAGAAGAAATAGTTGTGCACTTGGAAAAACTATCCCTTTGATACTGCTTATACAACAATGAATTGATTATTTTGTCAAATATGATACTGTAATAAGTATAAATACAGTGCAAAAGCTTAATGAATCTCCCAATGTATTTTAAGGTATTAATTTTGCTGTCCTACCACTTTTATCCTGGTGATAGTTGTAGCTTATCTCTTTGCAAAAGATCTCCTTGGCCATTGTTCCTGCTGGGTTTGCAGAGTTGGTATCTGAGTCTTTGTGTGTGAAAACCCTGTCCTGTCTGGGTGAYGTGACTGAGAGCAAGAGCGGCTTCAAACCCTGTGTGCTGCAACTCTGTCCCCTGAGGAAGCCAATGGTGATGTTCTCGTCTGGCAGGTCTCTCTTTCTTCCAGATTTAATCTTCTAGATCAGCTTTCTGCAGTTTCATATGGGTGTCTGTCACAGTCACAACTGGCAAAAGTGTTTGTTCTTTTTCCCTCTTGTCAACTCCTTTTTCCTATGCCTGGGAGAAGAAAGGGCAAGTCTCASACTTAAGCCTTGCTAAGGGTCATCATGAAGGATTTGATTCTCTACTAATGAGCTTCCAGCGATTGCCAATACAGTCTAGGTATTTCTTGCACACATGATTGTGTATGAGACTGGTGGCAGACAGCCTGCAACCATAGACAGCATCAAGGGGGAAATGTGCATCTCCTATGTCTTCTTGACTTCTTTTAAGAAGTGATGAAGTTTGGGGATGAAGATATATCCTAAATATCCCTAATGAGTTTTGGTGATTCAGTATCCTCGCTCCTTCATTTTTTCTGGAGATGATTCTAGGAGGTCTTTGCATTTGGATYCAAGGTTGAAACTTTACCTTGATTGGAAGCAACTGGTGGCAGATGTTTCTGCTAGGACCATCCACAAGTGCTGTAAGATGGTTCTTGAAGGTGGATTTTGGTCAGTGATCCCCTTTGAATTTACTTCTCTCACCTCTGTAAAAAAGCCTGGGCTGTACATTTAGCAGCATGTTCAAGGTTGGAAGGGGCCTTTAGAGATCATCTAGTCCAACCCTGCTGTTGAAGCAGAGTTACCAACAAGGGTAGGCTGCTCAGGAGCCTGTCCAGGTGGCTCTGACTGACTCWCTCCAAGGAAGGAGCCTCCACAGGCTCTCTGGGCAACCTGCTCAGTCACCCCCACAGTAAGGGAGCCTTTCCTGATGTGCAGGTAGAACTGCCCGTGTTTAGTTTGTACCTGTTGCCTCTCACCCTCTGGGCACCACTGAGCTGACTCTGGCCTGTCCTCTCTATATGCCCTCCTTTCAGATACTTATACTTAGTGATAAGTTCCTCCCCTTCAGTCTTCCAGGCTGAAGAGTCCCAGCTCTCCTCACGGGAGAGATGCTCTAGTCCCTTCATCAGCTTAGGAGCCCCTTGCTTCACTTGCGCTGCTTCATCTCTGCTCTCCTGGGCAGCCCCTCACTGGGCAGCACTCCAGAAGTGGCCTGACTAGGGCTGAATAGAGGGGAAGGGGACTTCTCTGCTTCTCCTGTTTTTAAAGTGATCAGAGATTCTGTTTCTTGGAATTTGRGTCCCTTCTGTAATGGGATGGTTCTTGTCAGCATCATGTTGGTGTTCATTAGAGCTGTGAAGTGCACTTGATTGGTGTGCGTGTTCAGCCCATCTTTCCGATGCTCAAACCCCATTTGGTTGGGGATGTCTTTTGCAACTGAAGAATGTGGAGCTTTACTGAAGTTCTCTGTAAATCTCTGTTGCTGACTTGGTGATTCACTGGCTTCCCACTGATTTGACCTCTCCATTTTTGTTTTACCACAGTCACCGCATTTGAACGAGTCCCTCTCACTTGTAGCTTCTGGTGCATGAAGTGGTTTCCAGATGAGATCTGAATCTGCACCCRAGTTGCTTCTTTGGGCTCTGGGTAGAGGGTTTGAGGGTAGAAGGTAATCATGCCTTTAAGGCTTGCCCCTATTTAGATACATGTCTCTTATTTAGATACATGTCTTCCTTCCTTAAACCCATCCTTTCTGCCAAGTCATGCTTTCTACCACTCAACAATATTCAGTGTTGTAATGGATGAAATTAATACAACCAGGCAGTCTTCCATACTGTACCAAACTGTGGAGCTAGATGGACATAAATGAAATATTTGCTCTTGGTAAGAATCAATGTTTGAAGGTTTACAATCCCCTTACAAGCCAACAAATATTCTGCTTAAGGAATGTGAAGGCTATGTTCTTCTTTTGTTGGTGTCATAATAAAACATGGAGTTTTATTAGGTTTATTTACTTTTCCTTTTTAGCATTTATATTGGATACACTCACTTTTGAGTAACAAGAATATTTTCCATACCAGAAGCTTAATATAACTCCAGAGTCAGATAGGTTTTTTACACTTATTGCAATTACAAATTGATATAGATTATGCCTTCAGAGAAACCTATTGATAAAACTTTTCCATGTTAATCCCTCATAACTATGAATAGATTTTTTTTCAAGACTACTCAGCTATTTCCAAGTTTGTTGCCTGGAGAACAGTATTTGGGCAGAAGATGAAACCATGTAGGAGCTGTGAGTTGAGTAACTGTTCATGTTAATCTTGGATCGTTTTCTATGCCATAATTGCATTGTACTGCTACTTCATGCACAAATGTATACATTTTGTTAGAGATTTAGATCAGATTTAAAAAGTGTTAAAGTATCCTGAACAGCAGTGAAGTGTAGATTCAGATATTTCAAGGGGCTAAATCTATCCTTGGATTATTCTAGGTACCGTAA